TATATCATATTTACTTGTTTTAAACTTTTTTTGTTTTACATTTAGTCACTTAATTCCTGGTTTCCTTGCCTAGGCAAATAATGTCATACATCCCAAGAGTCTTCAGGAGGGGAGGGTTCTCAGCTGAGCCTCTGCCTGAGCTAAGGGCAAATGGATTCCAGGAAGTAAATGATACATGAATCATCTGCCCTTATTCAAGATGGCCACTGCCAGAAATGCTAGGAGGTGTTTTTCAAAATGATTTCTCAGTAAAATAAATAATGGAGATGAATGGCTGAGTTTGATTTGAATATTAAAAATTAATTAAATAGCATTTTTGGTTTGTGGTGCTCAGATGCAGTGCAGTTCCACTTTAAGTCTCACAAGGTGCATGCCACCTTGTGGATTTATCTCTTCTATTTGCAACTGAATGTTTTATGGAGTGCTGGGAGTACAGCTATTGCTACACTCCTGGTGCTCTAAGAGGAGAAAAGCTGTCTTCTCACACACAGCATTTCATCCTGCCCCTACTCTCCGTATGGGAAGATTTCCCCTCTATTACTTTTCTGGGGACAGCCCAAAATGTGGGGTTTTCTTTTACTTTCACTTTCAATGAGAACGGTAAACAGGACAAATAGAGAGGGGGAATTTCCCTAATGGGGGCACAGACACCAATAAAACCTGACAAGTTCTCTAATCCATCTCCACTCTATTAAAAATCTAAAAAAAAAAAAAAAAAAAGTTTTGCCTTTAGGTATACTTTAAATCTGAAACAAACAAACATACTTGTGTTTTCATCTATATGCTGAAATTATAAATTGAGATTTTTTTTAGACATTGAATTTACTGCTACCTTCTGTTACCTTGTTGTGAAGTAGAAAAAGAGGTGCTGACTTGTACCATGCTGGCTTCCATGGAAATGGTTTGAGCTGAGCAACCAAATACCATTATGCCAGTTACACAAGTTCTAACCTTCAAAGTAGAACTAAAGGCAAAACTTTGTTTTCATTTTGGATAGAGTAAGGAAGGGCCCCTGTAATCATGTGTTCCATTGGAGAGATTTACTTTCAATTCCTGTCCCATAGCCAAGCAGAAAGTAAGAGGAAATCCCTGCAAATTAAGGGGATTTCTTGGGGACCCCCGGGTCACCAGAACTAGTGTCCCCATTGGAAGATGTCCCCTCTTAAAATACATTTTCTCTTAGAAGAAATTCCCCAAATTCTGGATTTTATTTTACTTTCACTTTCAATGATAATGGTAAACAGAACAATTAGAGAGATGGATCTCCCTAACGGGGCACAGACAGCAAAAACAAAACCTGACAGGTGTTCTAATCCTTGTGCACTCTGTATAAAACTAAAAAAAACTTTTGCTTTTAGTTTAACTTTAAACTAAATTATTGATGTTTTACCTGCTAGACAGTGTTTTTGAACCAGGGGATCTGGCACATTCTTTTACCAGCACTCTGATGTTGAGAGAATACCCTGCTTTATTAATACAGTTTTCTTCTATAGTAAAGCTTTGCTTTAATATACAAATATACAGTCTAAGGATTTTTTTTTTTCTATAGCATAACATAATTCTTGATCAATGTGCTGATAGGGACAATATTATTTCTGTGTATTCCTGACTTTGCTCCTCAGAACAACTCCCCACTGTGTATTTCAAAAGGCCTCCCATTGTCAGACACAGCAGGGGCCTTTCTGTGAGGAGACACATTCAGAAAGGATAAGGGAAATTTCACCGTGCTGCCAGTTAAAGCAGAATCCTCAAGTTTTATGACCAATTTTAGGCCCGCATTCCCGAGTCTTGCAAAATGTACTCTTTTATAAAAATAATGACATTATTATTATAACAATGATAAACGTACAGAGGTGTAACTTAAAGCCCCTACGCATTGGAGAAAAATATAAAGTGTGTCCCCTGATGCCCTCATGTCTCATAAAACATCTGAGGATGTTTGTTCAACATTTAGGCTGCTGATTTGAAAATTGGGTAGTTTCTCTTTTCCTGTACACCTAGCAAGGCTTCTAGATGTACAAACGGCAAATGATTAAGAAAAATGCCCGTGAAATAAACTCAAATGTGTTTTTCTCTTGCTGTACAGAATAGAATGTGAGAATAGTTACAGAAGAGGAAGTGGCATTTTTCCTTCAGACATTTCTATCAGGTTACGGTTTTCCAATGCTAAGCTCAGATGGGTAAAATAAATGCCATTATGAAGATGGAGTGGATAATTGCTGGAGGTAGTGGTTGATTAGAACCTGGTTCAGGGTTCTCAGTGTTTGAAGGTCTACGTCAGTAGCATGTGGTCTTTTTTACTTAGTGTATGTAGTTCTTGGTGACATTGTTGTAATCAGACCGTAGCATTTTCTTTTTTTTTTTTTTTTTTTTTGCATTTGTTCACTTCTTTCATCTCCTTTTTATGTATAATTAGTACTGTAATCTCTACAAAACAAATGTGATGTAGCCTCTGTTAGCTGCTTATCTGACATAATGAATGAAAAGGATTTGTTTAAACACCTCAGCTCCTTTATACAGCCAGAAAATCTAGTTTGTAGAATAGACCTTTTAGCTGTATCTTTTCTTCGGGCTATCCTTTGAGAACTCTGCTGAGATCATCAAGGCCCTATCATATCAATTTTTTATACATGTTTTTTAGGCCTAAAAAGTAAGTGCAAGTTGTTTTAACCTCAATGACTGATAGCATGAAGAAAGATTTTCTAAAGATATTAATATACATGTTTTATTCAGTTTCATGTCTTTGAGTTGCATCCATGTGTGTGTCCAACGTGAAAATAGTGTCTGTGCACATCATAAAATATTCCAGATTCAGTTCCTCCTTTTTTCCCTTAAAGTACACTTATGATAAGAGAATCATGGGGTTGCCATGCCTGTTATGTGCTGAAAATGTTAGTTGTCTTAGACACTGTCATTAAGGCACACTGTCCTTAAGGCTAGGTTCACATGGAAGCGGTGTGAATCCCAAAATTTGCTATTGCTATTCAAGGAGCACCTGTGGTGCGATTCGGCTGCAGTTCAGCTTGGATAGCAATGCGTTTTCCAACTTCATACAGTTGTGATTTTGGATTAATGTCCTAGGGGGTATCTGTCTGTCTACCAATTCAGTAACACATAGCAGACCTGGCAAAAATGCACTAGAATTGCATGTGATGTGAACCAATAAGCATTTCACACAAAATTTACATTCTACTCTATGGACATCAGAATTGGATCGCACAACTCCAAAGACATACATGACCCTTTTTCAAAACGCACTGCATGTGGACTGCATAGATGTGAACAATCTCCATGGGAATTCATTTTATTTTCCATGTCATGCGAATCACTGAGGTCTAAAAAACATTCAAAACCACATCAGTGTGAGCTAGGGCTAAATAAGAAAAAGTGTAAACAAACAGAGCATAAGAAAATTAAGTTTTAATTACTTCCATTACCCCCTATGTTGCATCGAATTTCTCTGTACGTGCTATGAATATCTTCCTCTTCTGGCACTTCAAGGTGTATTGGATGCCTGTGTCTCCCTGCTGTGGTTACCATCCAACCACCCCCATGGCTGCTACATCACTTTTGTGTTCTTGCAGCTCTGAAGCGATCACTAGCGACATAACAGCCAAGAGATGAGCCATGGTGGGCAGTGGAGAGATGCTGGCATCTCCTATTAGAATGCTGGAGATTCCAGTGGTGATTTAAACCTTGCTAAAGAGCAAAGATTGGATGCAGTAAAGGTAATCTGAATATTCAGCATGTACTTTCCTCTGTTGTCTTTGTTTACACTACATATAATGACATTTCAGTATTTAACCATTTTATGACAGAGGATAAAACAAATCTTAAGACCCAAAACACAGTTTTACAACATTGACATGTGTTAGTAAAACTGTACACACCATTGCAGCTATTCAGTGTGTCTAGGTGAATGGTACCCTTTCAGGACAAATTGGGCTTTCATTTGGTGGTAAATGGTATTTGGTATCTCATGATTTTTTTTAAACAAAGACAAAACTGACATACAGAAATACTGGGATCAGGTAAGTTTTAATCAGGTCAGTCCTTTCCCTGTAAGAGAGTTTCCAATTTTTCCAGCTAGCAACCTTGGCATCAGCATCTTGTAGCCTGCTTACCCAATTTGCAAGGCCGTAGACCAAATCTGATGCCTAAAACTTAAATTTCCTGCAGGGGCTCTGGGAACGCGTCCAGAAGGGTAAAGCCTTCCTCTCTCATCCAAAAAACCTCACTCTTATCCTGATTGATCCTGAGGCTCCTCAGGAATGCCCAAAGGAACTCCACACATAAGTCCGCTCTCTAACCTCTGAATGAAGGGATCGATTGCAAACGTGTATAGCAGAGGACTCAAAGGACACATGCTTACAAAATGTAAGTTCCTCAGGTGTTCATAGATTGGCAAAAGGGAAGAAAAGAAGATCATCCAGGTAACTGGGGCAAATATATACTATATAACCAAACATTTATGGAAACAATTCCAACTACTGACTCCAGGTGTTTCCAGTGAATAATATTGTTAATGAGCTGTGGCAACAGATTAAAGTGTAACTTTAACCACTTGACTTCCAGAAAATTTACCCCCCTTCCTGACCATGCCATTTTTTTTTTGCATTACTTTAACTGACAAATGCACAGTCATGCAACGTTGAAGCCAAATTAAATTTACGTCCTTTTTTCCCACAAATTGAGGGTGGTATTTGATCGCTTGTGCGGTTTTTATTTTTTGCGCTATAAAAAAAAAAACCTACAATTTTGGGAAAAAAACATTATTTTTGAATTTGCTATTAAACATGTTCAGTAAAAAATCAAATTTCAACATAAATTTAGGCCAAAATGTATTCTGCTATGTCTACATGTCTTTGTTAAAAAAAAAATCTCAATACATGTAAATTAATTAGTTTACGTGAAAGTGATAGCATTTATAAGTGGCGGTATATTTACTCTAATTTTAAATTTTTAAAACATTTTTACTAGTAATGGCGGCGATCAGCGACTTATAGCGGGACTGCAGCAGGCCTTCTGACACTGGGGGGAACTGACTTGGTGTCACTGACATCCCCAGTGACACCAATAAAGTGATCAGTGCTAATAAAAAGCACTGACACTGTACTAATGATACTGGGCAGGAAGGGGTTAACATCTGGGACGATCAAAGGGTCAACTGTGTGTGCTGTTTTACTAGGCGCTGTGTGTTTGGGCTTCACTGTTAGCACACTGCTTTGCATGGATGTGCTGTGCACAGCTATGTAAAGCAATGTGCACAAGCTGACAGGGAGGCGAACTGTTCCCCCCGTTGGAAATGATCGGGACCTGGTGATTGACAGCCACGAATGATGGTGCGGGTAGGGCGCGGAAATGCAAAATCACATATATATATGTGATTTTGCTCACCCCTGCCACCCTGCAACAGTATATCTGCTATAGGGCAGCAGGAATTTTAATGCAGAAGAGACATGTTTTGTCTCTTCTGCATTAAAGCTACCTACCTGCCTGTCCACCCCTGTACAGTAAGAGGCACAGCTCACTGTACAAATTTAGCAATGTCAAATTTGACAGAACTCCCGTGCATGCTTGGGAGTAACGTAATCCTCGCCTAGCCAATGATAGCGGTCAGCATTTAGGATACGGAAGCCGGCCACCCTAAGATGTCAGCGGGACAGCACATCATGGGGTCGTAGGTGAGTATAGTTCCATATTTTGAGGAAGGCCTTTTTCTGTTCCAGAATGCCTGTTCTTCCTCCAACATCAGTACCTTACCTGACAAATGCTATTTTCACTAGTAGAAAAAAGTTTACACAGACCCATTGCTAATTCTTGTTGAAAGCCTAAGAAAAGCAAAGGTTGTTAAAGCTGCCAAAGATGGACAACTCCATATACCCATGGTTTTGGAATAGGCTGGCATGGCCTACAGGCATTTATAGGAGTAATGGTTAGGGGTCCAAAACTTATTATTATATAGTGTATCTTATTCTCTCTTAAGCTGGCCATACATGGAGCTTCAGCAGGGACTGGACAAATTTGTATCTATGTATGGGCAGGGTGGTTGTACAGAAGTCGATCTACCAATTGACTACCAGTCCACTATGAATGCTGCTGCCAAGCTTATCCACCTTACCAACTATTCAGTGTCTGCCACCCCTCTCTGTCAATCTTTCCACTGAATTAAATTCAAGATATTTACAACAACTTACAAAGCCATACACAACTCAGCCCCCAGCTACATCACTAACCTAGTCTCAAAATACCAACCAAATCATTCTCTTCTTTCCTCCCAAGACCTCCTCCTCTCTAGCTCCCTTGTCACCTCCTCCTATGCTTGCCTCCAGGACTTCTCCAGAGCCACTCCCATTCTCTGGAACTCCCTACCCCAATGTGTTAGACTATCACCTACTGTATCCACAATCCCTGAAAACTCATCTTTTTTCCGAGAGGCCTATCCTGCCCTCACCTAATAACTGCATGTGTTTTCTTCATCAGCCTACCCCCCACAGTTCTTACCTTTTATATCTCTTGACCCTCCCTCTTAGTTTGTAAGCTCTAAGGAGCAGGGTCCTCTGATCCATCCTGTACTACATTGTATTGTACTTGTACTGTTATGTTGTAAAATGCTGCTTAAACTGTTGATGCTATATAAATCCTGTAGAATAATAATACATTCTGTACAACCGCCCTGTCAGATTTTTGCCGTTCAGTCAGTGCTACTGGCTATAGCCGGCAGCGCTGATCAGTATATTCTGACAGAAAGGAAGTTACAATACAATAGCACAGCAGGAAAGGATTCCATAATCCACATTGAATGTGTTGATGATGAAATCAAGTAATTTTTTCTTCATTCAACCCACTGATTGAATGAATAAAAATGACTCATCTTTGGCCAGCTTTAGATAGGTGTACCTCTATGAGCAGTAGTTATTATGTGAAATCTATTCTAAGCAAAATGTATTGAATATGCAGCTTTTTTGCAATATCTTACCACTGTAAAGTAGTTTACTTCCCTTACCTACCATTTTTCAGGTAAATTCCATCTCCCGACGTCACATATTAACAGTGTACATGGCTATATTTCTGCTTCGTTGAGTTTAATTACATTTACATTTGTGTATAAAAACCTCCACAGGCCTTATGAAGCCCCATGCCGCGATGCTTGAATGTGTGACGCTGTGATGGTCTGTAACAGCAGGAGTAAAATATGATTTATTATAAATGAGCAACCATGTAATGAGCAAAATGATCTGTCCTTTTGTTGACGTCAGTATTTTTAGTTTCAGATCAGAATTTTCACACAGAGAGATTTTATCAACCAATTTGATGATAATTAGTGTTTTATAAGAACATTATATCTGCCTATAGATGTTTAGAAGTTTCAACTATCTCATGATCATTCTGTGAAGTGATTGTGGCGTAAACATGTACTAATGGTTCTTGAAAGTATGTTTATACACTAAGCATACCACCCTACCATATGGCTCATTTTTTCTTTTTTAGGCCATCTACCCACCTAAATCCCCTTCCTGAGATCTGTCAGGCTGAAGGTGTCTGTAATGGATGTATAGGGGTTATTTACTAAAGCTGCATGGTGTAACTCTGCATAGAAGCCACTCAGCTTCCAGGTTTTATTGGTAAAGCTAAATCGAACAAGCTGAAGTTAGAATCTGATTGGTTACCATGCACAGCTGAAACAGATTCTGAGTGCACCAGTTTTAGTAAATCTAATGCACAGTGATATGAGGATTTTCTTTATTTGACTGTAATGATAATCATCTTGGAGATCCTTAAGTGCATGCCAAACCAAAAACTTTTTTCTTTGTCATCCAATGATGGACAATGGAATTCTTAAACTGTCAGGTAATATAACTACCTTCAAAAGCAACAGAGAAGCCATTGACCAGCAAAGGATAACCCTGCCCACAACGATCATGCCTCCGTTTTTTGCTTGTATCTTAAGGAGAGTGGATGTGTATTCTTCAGCTCTGCTGTTCTCAGTTAGTTTGGAAGATCTTTCAGCTGCTTGTGGATTAATTGCAATAAGTTAAAGTGATATTAAAGTCAACATGTTTTAACTAGTTGCCGACCGCAGATAGCCGAATGACGGCTTCACTGCGGCCGGCCAGTTCTGGGTGGACGTCATATGACGTCCCCCCAGAACGCGCTCTCCTGCGCGCTCTCCCAGGGGGCGCGCACCCGGCGATCTCCGTGATCGCTGTGTCCTACGGACACAGCTGATCACGTGATGTGGTAAAAGGCCGATCCCAGCGGCCTTTTACCACGTGATCAGCGGTGTCCAATGACACGCTGATCAGAGGGAAATGCAAGTGCCGGTTCTCGGCTGCACTTTCCTCACGCTGTCAGATCGTGAGGAAAGTACTGCCGAGAACCGGCAGTTGTCACAGCGGGGATCGGCACCGATCATCAGGACACTGATGATCAGTGCCCTGATGATCGGTGCCCAGCAGTGCCACCCGCAAGTTCCGCCCACCTGTGCCCAGCAGTGCGCCCACTAGCTCCGCCCACCTGTGCCCAGCAGTGCACCCACCTGTGCCCTCTGCAGTGCACCCACCTGTGCCACTCTGCAGTGTCACACACCTACCTGTGCCCAGGAGTGCCACCTACCTGTGCCCAGAAGTGCCACCCACCTGTGCCCACCCACCAGTGCCCACCCACCAGTGCAGCCCAGCAGTGCTGCCAGTCAGTGCCACCAGTCAGTGCCCAGGGGTTGTGCCAGTCAGTGCCGCCAGTCAGTGCCCAGCAGTGATGCCAGTCAGTGCCGTCTATCAGTACCCATCATCAGTGTCCGCCTATCAGTGCCGCCTATCAGTGCTGCATTTAGTGCTGCCTATCCGTGACACCTCATCAGTGCCGCCTATCCGTGCCACCTCATTAGTGCTGCCTATCAGTGCCCTTTAGTGCTGCCTATCAGTGCCCATCAGTGCCGCCTGTCAGTGCCCATCAGTGCTGCCTCATCAACGCACATCAGTGAAGGAGAAAAAATACCTGTTTGAAAAATTTTATAATAGAAACAAAGAAAAAAAATTTTTTTTTCAAATTTTTTGCAATTTTTTTATTTATAGCGCAAAAAGTAAAGCGCCCAGTGGCAATTAAATACCACCAAAAGAAAGCTCTATTTGTGAGAAAAAAAAAAATGATCAAAATTTCATATGGGTACAATGTTGCATGACCGCGCAATTGTCAAAAAGTGCGGCAGCGCTGAAAGCTGAAAATTGGCCTGGTAAGGAAGGGGGTATAAGTGCCTGGTAGGCAAGTGGTTAAGCTATTGCAAATGTTGACTAAATAACTTACAATGGATGCTGTTTCTTTACTTTTATACATTTTGGTTCCTGCAGAGTCAACAGAGTCAAGTTGGTTTCCTGAGTGCTGACCCTTATATCCTATTTTTAGGTTGGCTCCTTTTCCCTGCAAGGGTCCTATTGAACAGCCCTTATGTGAGTGCTAGTAAGCTGTGTTTGTTTCCACAAACATACAGACTTGGCAAGGCAAAAGTTACTCCCCACTTCTCCCTTCTCTAAACTAGTTGATGGAAAGCTACTGGAGATTCCGCTTTTCCTTGTGTACTCGATAGAAAGTTAAGGGAAGCGTTCGGGGAGAGCTGGATCCAGCTCTTTGGAGAGATTAATACTGAAAGTGCTGTGGCAATAATTTAGAGAAATACTGTGTTGGCCACTGTATATTATTTTGATATGGATTCATTACTGGAAAAAAAAATTTATTATTGCTACTTTAATTCCTGGATGTTTCCCCAGTAAGCCAATGAACACAGGTTTTCCCAGTTTCATACTGTCCAATCTGAAACAGGTCTGAATTTCTGGAAGATTCCCCACTCATCTACTAGGTAACTTGTTCCCAGTTAACTTTCTGTACTGTTCTGTTTGTATTTTAGTTCACACAGGACTCCACTATCCAGAGTTGACTTAATTTTCACCTGGACCGGTCTCTGGAAACTCACCCTTGTGAGTAGATGTAGCAGACTACTACTTTATTGACGATTTTCCCATTAATTGTAACTGAAACTGTCTGATGTAGATTTCCAATAACACACGGTCATTAGCAGGGCACTGAATTAAAGTGTTTTTTTTTTTCCCCTCTTAAAGGATAAGTTTACCTTTAGTAACATGTTGCACCCTTATATTACACCCGCACCTCCCACGATGCGCTGTGCTGACAGCTAGCAAGGGATCTTCTCACCCTGCTAGCTGTCACAATTTTGAAAAAAAACGTGACAGAGCAGACCTCGGCCCACCCAGCAGCAACGTTTATTCACAGAGTTCTGTAAATGGAAAACTACAAGTACGACAGCCTTTGGGGCTATCAGCTTGTAGTTCTCAATGAACTACCACGGCACTGTTGAGTG